CCAGCCGCCATCCCGTCTCCCCGCTGCCGGCTCCCCCCAAGTGTTTATTTAAGCCGACACATTGCTCTGCTAATTGGATAACGTTCCATGTGAAAATAGACCTTTTAAAACAACAGCAGCCCAGGCAAATAAAAACAGCTGTAACTGCAAAAGTACAAAGGGGCGGCGGGCTCGGGGTGGAGGGGGAGCATTAAAGGCGCACACGTGGGAAAAAGCTAACGTTCTGGTGTCCGGGCTTTGCTTTCTCCCCCTCCGTGTCGCCCTTCCCCTCCTCCACCATGACCAGCCGCGTCTGGGTGGAGAGAGAGGAGCCTGTGGCTTCTAAAAGGAATCCCTGTGGCTATTGGTGGCCTCTCGGTCAGCGGGGATGGCCACACAGGCTGGGGAACCCCAGGTCACCCGCCCGGTAGAGTGCTGCTGCCTTTGAGGCAAAAGCTGCGCCGTGGGGTGGGAGGGTTGGAAGGGGGCAGTGTGTGCCCGTGGGGGCTGCTGAAGGAATGTCCACTCTTTCTGAGGGCTGGGAGGAGCTGCCATCATCCTGGGCTTGTTCCCAAGAGATGTTTTAGGGAACGACCTTCTGGTCGTCTTCTAAAATGCTGTTAGCTTGGCGAGTGCTTTTCTTTGGTGAGGCGTCGGGGCTGGGTGAGAGGTGATAGGTGTGGGGGAACTGGAGGGGGCTGGCCCCCATTTTAAGTGGATAGATGGATGAAAGGAAAGAGGAAGTCCTGAGTCAGACAGACACAGGTGGTTTCCCACCTCCGCTCAGCACTGGCTGTATGACCCTGGGCAAGGACTTAATCCCTTTGAACCTCAGTCTTCCCATGTGTCATATGGCTTCCTACCCCCTATTCTCCTAGTGTCCCCAAGGGTTAGAAATGACCTACACAAATGCCCAGCACTGTCCCTGGCAAAGATGGCCTTTCAGAAGTTGGTATTTTTTATCAACACCAAGACGCTGCCCTTCCAGAAATATCATCAGGGCCCAGAGGACCACGTGGCACCTGAGACACTATGGACAGCCACACACCTGGGAATCGCACTGCATTCTGGGTGCGTGTGAGTCCCTGACTTCCTGTCTGCCTTCGTCAACCCTCGTCCATCCTCCACTTCTCTCCAGCACGTGGGCGAAGGATCGTCACACCTGGAGGTCGAGATAGTATCGCCACTTTCGGAGGGAATGACATCTATTGCCCGGGACATCGGGGGCTGATGAAATGTCCGAGGCTGGGAGAAAATGCTAGCTCGTGGAGGCTGTGACGAGGGCGGACGGCCAGGACCCACCCCCAGTTTAGCATCCCCGCTGCAGAGGCAGGTGTGGGCAGCAGCGGCACAGAGGGAACTCAGCAACTGCCTGCAGAACCGGGGAGGGAGCTACGCACATCTCCTGCCCGACCCCCAGGGCGGCTGCAGGCTGGGCAGCGGCCATGTGCCTGCGGTGTGCGTATCATGCACGAAGCCAGCGCAGAGGGGCGCAGGAGCCTCTGGCTACTGTCATCAGTTGCCTGGTTACTCCGAGCTCCACCAACGACACCCTCTAGGAGCCTCTTCCCAGTCGTGAGGTGTGTGCTTGACAGCAGGGGCTTGCGAGATAGCGGGCTTCCTGCAGATGCGCGGGGTGGGACGTGGGGGTCACGGAGGAAGGCCGGGGACTCAGAATCCCCGAGGGTAGGGCGCACGCAGATGGCACCTGCCTGAGGCCAAGCGGAGACGGTGCTGCTGGGGGACTGGGGGACTGACCGGGGCTGAGTTCTCTCCTCTGCCAGCCGGTGAAGCCAGGAGCGAGCACTGCACTGGGAGCCAACATACCCGGCTCAAGCCCTGGCACGGCCCTGCCCGGAAATCACGGGCTCCTCCCCCGCTCTCCAGACTCAGGGCCTCCGACCAGCCTGTGCTCCCTCCCTGCCTCTCTCCTCGCATGCCTGCCCCCTCCCTCCATCTCTTCTTCCCCTTCCTCCTCCCCCCAGGCAGGGGACAGCCTGGGGGTCCCCCGGGAGGGCACCAAGACTGGCAATGGCAGAACAGCTCTCATGAGGGGGGCGAGCAGGTCGGGGTGCCGCTGAGCCCCGGGGAGGTGTCTAAGGGGTCCTTCCCCAGAGCGCTCACAAAGGAGGAGAGTCGCTCAGGGAAGCTTGTTTGCCCTGCGAGCCGAGGATCACAAAGGCGCCTCTGCCAGCCCCGGGGGTCCCACGCACTCCTTCTGCGGAGGTAAAAAAAGACCCGCAGGGTTTTACGCAGTGTCTTCTGGCGGCATCGCTCACCCTCTTGTAACTCACGCCCACCCTCGAGCTAACTAGATATTTACAATATTCACAGCGCCATTCGGCAGGATGCGGAGCGCACGGCTCTGTGGGTCAGTGGAGAGCGCTGAATGTTCCACTCGGAAGACAATAAGTTCTTCAGACAGACGGGGAGAAGGGGAGGGAGAAGCCATGCAGCTTCCCCGGGAGGCGAAAAGAGCAAAGGGAGCTTTGCAGGAGAGAGGTGCTCTCGGCGGGCTCAGGCCGTGCCGCGGCGGGCACACAGGGCCCTCGGCCTGCCCCACGCGGTGACAGGGAAGAGCCGCTGGGACGGCAGGGGACAGAAGCAGCTCTGGAGCCAGGTCGCTGCCTGTCAGAGGCGGCAAGAGCCAGTCTCGGAGGGGCTGTGGCCTGAGTTCTCGTCCTTAGTGCCCTTTCTCCTCCTGGAGCCGAGGCATGGGCAGAGGAGGGTGCAGCAGGCAGAGCCACCAGGAGCTGAGCTGGGAGGAACGCCCACCGCCTGGCACACAGGCCAGTCAGGCATCCGTGCTGCCCTGTCTCCCTGGGCTCCCACTGCTGTTCTAATGACGACTACGTCCTGGTAGTGGGGTGTGTGGGACTTCGGGGCTGGGAGCCTGTGATGGGCTGGACCCTCCAGGCCCCACGAGTCCTGTTAACACCCTCACCACATCACCCTCGACTCTGGAGAGAGGCGCGGTGTGGAAAGACGGTTTCCAGCTCAAGAGTCACTGAGGCCTTTGTTCCCCGCTCCTTCCCCGAATCCCTTCTTTTCAGACTATCGCCATTGTCACCGCTGTCACCACCATCCTCCTCATCACAGCTGACAGGCGGTGCTCACGGGGGCCAGGCTGTTCCATGACTGGCACTGCACCCAAACCTCGCCACCACTCGGTGAGAAAAATCCTATCACCATTTTATCACGGGGGAAACCGAGGCACATGGAAAGTAAGTCACTCGCCCCAGATCACAGAGCACGATAAGTGGCGGTACTAGGACTCAAACTCGGGCAGCCTGGCTTCGCAGTCTGCGCTCGACCAGCTGGCGCCACACTGGCCCTTAATGAGACACGTTCCTTAGGGGCAGGAAGTGGATCCCCCCGCCCTGCACCCCTCTCTCTCTCAGTCACAGCCTCAGGCGGGAACCCTGATGCAAAACGTGACGAAGGCTCTACACCCTCCCGGCCCAATGCCCTGGGAAGCCCAGCGCTCGGGGGCACACGGTGCAGGACACGCTGTCCCGGGCTGCCTTTCTGTGTGTGGATGGGCCGGCTGGCTCCGAAGGGACCTGGGCTGGTGGAAACGAGGAGGAAACAGCTCACTCGTGTGCCAGAACCGGTGCCAGAGTTTCCCATGCACCATCTGGCCTCACCCTGTGGGGGAGGACCCGTTATCATTCCCATTTGACAGACGAGGACACTGAGGCACGGGGCAGGGCCAGGAAAGCTGAGCTGCCAGCTGCTGTGGACGGCTGTCCCCCCGATTTCCGTCTGAGTCAACGTGGGGACCCCGAAGGCGCCTGCTATACCGGTGAGCATCAAGGCCGGGGGCCTGTTGCACGTAGGGGGTGTGCCTGGCTGTCAGCACGGTAGCGAGGGAAAGGCTGCTGGCCGAGAAGAAAGAGGAACAGATGTCTGGACAGACGTGGCCACGTGTCAACAAAACAGGCACTCGAGCTCAAGATGCTGAGACAAAGGTGGCTGGCAAGGCTCCCCGAGGTCCCGGGGGTTGCCCCTCTCTGCCTGTGCATGTTCCCAGGGCTCACAAAGGCCGCAGCTGTGTCCCAGAGATGTCACCTCCAGCTCCGCCCACTGGGCCTCTGGCAACACCGGCTTGCGGAAGGCCAAAAGGTGCAATCCCAACAAACACTCTGCTTTTCTGAAGGGCACGTCCTCAGATGTGGAGGGGGCCCAGCCATTGGTGGGACCTGCCTGTCGCTTTACTGTGCCCTCGAGGGAAGATGAGGCCCAGAGAGGAAAGAGGCTGCCTGAGGACACAGGCTCACGGAGGGAGCCCATGACAGCATCACTACCACCTTCCCGGGGATTCTGACCTGGGAGAATCACCTGAGGGTGGCGACCACGGACAAAGCCAGAACCCCCGTCCCGCAGCCTCTGCCCCCATGTCTGCTGCTGGGCCGGGCGAGGACCCAGTCGGGACCCAGTCGGGACCCAGTCGGTGAAAGAGAGGCCCCTGGTTCAGAGAGGCTGCCCTCGCCTGCCACAAGCACAAAAAAGCAGCCCCAGCCACCAGCAGGTAGGATGAAGTGAAAGATGTGTCCCCGTGGGTTCCGACTCGGATACCTCGGAGTCTCCTTTTGAAGCTCTGTCTCCCGAACCCCCTCTGTACACCCTCTCTCATGCGGCCCACTCTGGGGGTGGCAGGGGGCGGGTCCATGACAGACAGAGCTGTTTCCTGTCTGACCTGGGAGGCCTGAGAAACTCATCTACTAGCCTGCTTTGTGTCCCAGGTCCCTGTGTATGTGACATGGGGGAAGGAGGAGGTCACAGAATTGTCCCTTCCTGCAAACTCAACACCCAGGGTGTTTTCTTTCAAGGATGTTGTACATATCTGAGGATCAGGGAGACGAGAGAGAGAGAGAGAGAGAGAGAAAGAGAGAGAGAGAGAGAGAGAGAGACCGACACCGACCGCACAGATGGTGACACACCCACATTTGTAAGGAGCTCTGCTGCTTCTCCTACAGAGGACCCAAGAAGGAGGTCGCCGGGCAGGGGCCTGCGCTCACCTTCGCGTCCTGCTTGCTGAGGAAGTCCACGAAGCCGAAGCCCCTGTGTGTGCCTGTCCCGGCCATCTTCTTTGGCAAGCGGACGGTCTTCAGCTCCCCGAAGGTGCTAAGAACAAAAAGCAAACACAAGGGTGTTTCGGGATCGAGGCCCACAGAGGGGCCGGGGGTGGGGCGGGGGGGACAGGACT